GATAATGACAAGCCGTAATACACCTCTACATCTTTGCAGAGGACATTAACTGAACTATCTGATGAGGGGAATATCAGAATTATGTGAAAGCCAAAGATAGAAGGTCACAGGAAGTGACCTCATAAACTTCATACATGCTTCAATTTCTAAACCTAACAGTAAATGGTTCTTTTTCAGTTCCCACTTTTCTTAACCTTTCTTATACTATTTCAATGTACACAGTTGCTTCTCAAGAGATTTGGGGAAAATGGAGCAGTTTCCTAGACTCCAACATAATAGGTTCTCCTAAAAATACTCCTCCTTACACCTGCCTTATTTCTATATATAATAAGTAATTTTCTTCAGTCACCCTGGCACAAAAGCTCAAATTTGACTAGTTCTTTTTAATCAAAGAATTAAATCAAATCTACCAATTCTTCCCTTGGAATGGTTCTCAAATAATCCTTTCATTCCATTTCTTTTCCCACACCCATGGCAAACATTTTTAACTCATCAATAATTTTCCACTAAGTTAGGAAAAGCCTCAGTCTTTATCAACTGAAACCTTTTTAAACCACTATTAATGGATCAAAGCTGGCCCTTGTATTTCAACTAATTTCGGCCTCCAGTCTCTCCTCATGACAATCCATGCTGCAAGCTAACACCAAGTTGAGGTTTCAAAAGGCATTTATCATGTCACCATCTTTGCAAGCCGCTGAACACAGCAACTTGAAACCCCGTATTAGATACTAAAACATCCTTCACAATCTGTCAGCAACATACCTTGCACCCTTTCTCTCTACATCCTCAACCTCAAATCATCTATTTTGGCTTGTCAGGGATACTTGCTCTTTTCCAAAATAGCCTTAGTCACCTTAACTTTGATAGCAACCCCCTACCCTCCCTCTTCAATTCTTTGGAATTTAAATTATCAAAGATCCAGCTAAAAATTTCACTTTCTCTATAAAGTATTACTTCTCCAGTCTCTACAACAGAGTGTAGTTGTTCTTTAAATCACTCATTGGACATTTTACCAAACACTGGGACCAATTAAACCATGAGGTGATGCTGTCTCCAAAGTCAGTTTGTAAATTTGAGTATAATGAAAAACTTTTTCATTAAGCCTACAGCTGAGAAAAAGGAAAATAAAAATTCAGCCTTTAAATCCATAACAAGATTTCCCTAAGGGATTTGCATGAGAATAACTCAGATCATAATATATTCTAATGGGTCCACTTTCGTAAAGACAGTAATTGCTTAACCTTTTAAACTTAGGTTGTGACAAGACATGTAGAGATGTCTGTACAAGGTAGGCACGTGCCTCACACTGAGGAGTCTTCATCCATGTATCTGATAAGGCTGCTGAGCAGGAATATTACCAACATTAAACTTAGGGCTCCTAAAGTTCTCTAAGAATCAGCCAGCTGTGGAAACACCACCAGAGAAATTTAAAACCTCACTCTATAAAATACAAGTATATGAATTTGCAGAGTACTCCCTCAAGCAATAAGATGTCTCAGGTCAAGTGGGACACCGTCTTTCTCTGTTCAAAAGCAGTCTGAAAACCAGCAGGAAAATTGGGAGAGGATTTCATCATTGCAGCATAAACATTCCCAGTGGCAATGATGCTGTCTTTTTAAAAAATGCATTTCTGGTGCAATTGTTAGAATTAAATAACAGGACTGTATCATTACTCAATTTGGATCTCTGGCAAAGACAAATCAACTGAATGAGTTTACAATATGTAAGTAGCAAGTTCATTCAAACCCTGTGAGAAAAAGCTTCCATTTTGTCATTTCAAAGAATTAGTTTGGTACTTACTGTCTGCTGATGAGTTGAGTTCTATCTTAATCTTGGATTTTTCAAGATCTTCTTTGTATTCTTTCTTAAGCAATTTTACTATCTTTTTGCTATAACTTGACTTCTTCACTTTGAAAACTTCTTCATTTTCTTAAAAAGAAATCAAATGAAGTGTAGAAACCATTTTCAGACAGTATCTTCCCTTCTAACTTTCACATGATCTTACGTGCTTTTCAAATTCTTCCAAAGATATACTCACACCCTAAATCATTGCAGAATTTGAAGTTATTTCAGACCTGTCATAGGCTCTCAAAAACTGAAATCAACTTTATGAATTAATCCGGAATAACAAATTGAGACTTTTAAAAATGCTTAACATATGTAACTGCACAAAATTCTCCTAGGTTTTGTTGTCTTCCTTGAATCATCCATTTCTGGAGGAAACAGATCACTGAAAAACCACTTCATCACCATATTATTAAGATTTCTGAAACAGAATATTCAAAATCAAAAGGTAATGGTTAACAGTGCCACCTCTGAGTGACTCCATGTCCATCACAAGCTGACATTGTTATTCAAGAGTAAACTGAGACCAAATCAATTTTTTAAAAAAATAAGTTTTGAGGATAGATCCTTCAGCTTTAATTTCAAATTTCTAAAGTCAAACTCAAACACTTTACCAAATGGTCCCTGCATAAACAAAACCAAAAATCTGTCTGTACTTCTCTCAACCTTAAAAAATATCAGACCAAAGGAAAACATCCTACCTTACCGAAAACACAAAAGCATCTCACATTAAGATGCAACTGAAATATCCCAGTCTTTACTTTTTTCAAAATATGGACTTAAATGGGTTATATAAACACACATTCAAGAAGTAAAAAGACTTAAGACTCACTTATCGGAAATCTAAATCCACTACAGCGTAGCCTCTCACACCGGATTGGATAACCTGCCTTAAATTACTACTAGTCTCTCTTCACTGTTCAAAAGTCAATGCGGGCAAGGCCGGACATCTACCCCTATTTACTTTTTTGGCAAACAGGATCTGCGATTGTAAGGGAATAGCCCAAGGGCACTCAGAACCAGGGTTCAACTCCAGGCTTCTGTTCCCAGACCTAGTACTTCTTTATACAAAGCCGGTTTTCCTGGTCAAGGATGTCTGGACAGATCCCCCCAAGAGGCGTAGACGCACTGGCCTGCAGAGGGCTCAGAGAACGTGCCAAGAGCGGCCAGCGGACCCAACTCGAGTTCTCCCTCAAACTAGTCCGGACAGGGCACACTGTCTTTCCATGAGAAAAATTCAGAATGACCGATCTGAGCCCCGGCCCCCCGTAATAGAAAATGCACAGAAGGAAGGAGAGGAGGCAGTGGTTGTTAAGGCTGATGGCGACGCGGAACGCGTCCTCTGCCGGAGCAGGAGGCCGGAGGCGGGGAAGGATGTGCAGTCGGTCGGGCACGAAGGGGCTCGGTTCCGAGGTGCGGCGGGTGGGCATCCAGGGAATGCAGGGACCCGAAGAGCAGGTCTGGTTAAGGTATGAGGGGGTCGGGGGACAGAAGTGCGGTGGTTACCTTCCTCCTCGTCCTGGAAGCTCAGCAGGCTGGCCCGGGGCACCTCTTTGTTCTCGCGCGGCCTCTTGCGCGGCTTCAGCCCGTTGCCGGGCTCCGCGCCGACCGGGAAGCACACCCCGGCCTCAGCCCCGGAACCCGGGGTCAGCGCGGAAGGCGGCAGCGGCCCGGGGCCAAGGAGCGACTCCCCTCCGGGGGCCCTGTCGCCGCTGCCGGAGCCCGGCTCTTCGCCGGTGTCCGGCGGCGGCAGCAACGGCGGCGGCTCCTGCTCTTCGTCGCGCTCTCGCTCTTCCTCCTCCGAGTCATTTCGCTTGCGCACGTTCACTCTCCGGGCCTTTCGGAACATTCCCGCGGCCCGCAAGTCGGTCTCACTCGCTCCCACAAGGCGGCCCCGGCAGCGCACGCGCCTTGCTCGAGTTCCAGCCGGGACCCGTGTTCCCTGCCGCTACGGCGCACCGCGAGTACGCATGCGCACGCACTACCACCACTTGGCACGGCGAGCTTCCCGCGAGAACGCTAGCTACTTGCACTGTCTCCTGTCGGCGTGGAGGACTACTGGATGGAACTCAGGGACTCTGATTCAGTCACCCCACGGGTCACAAAGAGGATCATAGAGACGAGAGCAAAGAGTAAGTAAGCGCTGTGTCGTTCCGAAGGTGCTGCAGTGCGTCCTCCGCGTCTACGCCGAGCCGCCTCTGAAGGAATCCTCCCGCCAAACGCTCGGAGGAGCAGAGAGAGGAGGGGTGGAACGGGAGGAGACGCAGGGAGATTGGCAAGAAAGCAGGGAGGGAGAGGAAGACAAGCCAGGTTTGCTGAGGCAAAGTGGGATCCAAAAGGCGGGATGTTCTTCTGGAAACTATGAATTGAGGTGTAATATGTAAATATTACTTCGTATTTCTACAGCCTTATAGCTACCGAGCAAGTTCAAAACCACCGAATTTCATGTATGGTAAAATGTCACCTGGAGTGATATCTTAGCCTTCTCCTCAATTACAAGGAAAACAAAAGTGTTTCAGTGTTTTTCGAAAGAATGCCAAATTTGCCAGCAGTTCTGAAGCATAGTTGATTTCAGAAACGGAAGGAAGGTCGACTTGGGTTTGCCGTTGGAGGGCGGGTTGGTTGTGACACTTTTCAGCCTTGCATCGCAGAGGTAACTGTTAACTGGCAAGGCCGGCACAGGGTTCTGGACTCAGGTTGAACACCCAGGCTTTCCTGTTGTATCACCAAATTTAGGGCCTTCAACATCGCGTGTGCGCAAATGTGATCAGCCCCGGAACCCGGGGTCAGCGCGGAAGGCGGCAGCGGCCCGGGGCCAAGGAGCGACTCCCCTCCGGGGGCCCTGTCGCCGCTGCCGGAGCCCGGCTCTTCGCCGGTGTCCGGCGGCGGCAGCAACGGCGGCGGCTCCTGTTCTTCGTCGCGCTCTCGCTCTTCCTCCTCCGAGTCATTTCGCTTGCGCACGTTCACTCTCCGGGCCTTTCGGAACATTCCCGCGGCCCGCAAGTCGGTCTCACTCGCTCCCACAAGGCGGCCCCGGCAGCGCACGCGCCTTGCTCGAGTTCCAGCCGGGACCCGTGTTCCCTGCCGCTACGGCGCACCGCGAGTACGCATGCGCACGCACTACCACCACTTGGCACGGCGAGCTTCCCGCGAGAACGCTAGCTACTTGCACTGTCTCCTGTCGGCGTGGAGGACTACTGGATGGAACTCAGGGACTCTGATTCAGTCACCCCACGGGTCACAAAGAGGATCATAGAGACGAGAGCAAAGAGTAAGTAAGCGCTGTGTCGTTCCGAAGGTGCTGCAGTGCGTCCTCCGCGTCTACGCCGAGCCGCCTCTGAAGGAATCCTCCCGCCAAACGCTCGGAGGAGCAGAGAGAGGAGGGGTGGAACGGGAGGAGACGCAGGGAGATTGGCAAGAAAGCAGGGAGGGAGAGGAAGACAAGCCAGGTTTGCTGAGGCAAAGTGGGATCCAAAAGGCGGGATGTTCTTCTGGAAACTATGAATTGAGGTGTAATATGTAAATATTACTTCGTATTTCTACAGCCTTATAGCTACCGAGCAAGTTCAAAACCACCGAATTTCATGTATGGTAAAATGTCACCTGGAGTGATATCTTAGCCTTCTCCTCAATTACAAGGAAAACAAAAGTGTTTCAGTGTTTTTCGAAAGAATGCCAAATTTGCCAGCAGTTCTGAAGCATAGTTGATTTCAGAAACGGAAGGAAGGTCGACTTGGGTTTGCCGTTGGAGGGCGGGTTGGTTGTGACACTTTTCAGCCTTGCATCGCAGAGGTAACTGTTAACTGGCAAGGCCGGCACAGGGTTCTGGACTCAGGTTGAACACCCAGGCTTTCCTGTTGTATCACCAAATTTAGGGCCTTCAACATCGCGTGTGCGCAAATGTGTGAATTCCTTAACATGTCTTAAAATTCAAAAGGTGGCAAAGGGAATTGATATAGGGAAAAATCTCTCCAGCTTCTAGTAGCCTTCCAGTTCAGTGGATAGATACTCTACAAACAAAAGCAAATATGTATATTTTCATAAATTACCTTTTTTTAACTGTGCATTTTTAGTATAACATAAATTGGATATTGGTTTTTAACATGAAGTATTGTCTCTTACCCAGCCACATAGTGAGCCATCGTTGGAATGCATCCTAAGTTATTTAACAAGTCCCATAAATATTGATATAGAGGTTTTTTTCCAGTCTTGCTTTAATAACACTGCAATGAAAAGCTGTGAAGAATGTCACATCTGTAGGATGAATTAAAATTGGCATTGCTAGATCCAAATGTGTACATTCTGTAATTTTGCTAATTCGAAGCTACTCTTTATAGAAACTGCCAATTTGTACTCACACCAAAATACATGAGAGTGCCTATTTGCCTACACCATCCTGGCAAAATTCACTTTAGATTTAAGATTCAGTTTGAAATGGAAGATCCCAAGCCCCCAAGAGTTTGTTTGTCATATACATCTCCCTCTTTCTCTCTCTTTTTTAAATTAGATTTGAGATCTGACCACCTAGGACTCACTTTTGGAAACTGGAAAGATGACCTAGGCTAAGAGGATCCTCTGACATGTTCTTCTGGGTAATAAGAACAGTTAATAATAGCTGGCTTTGGTTCTACTTGAATTACTCTAAATTCTTATATTCTGGCTATTCAGCATTGACTTAAGTTTTGATTCCAACATAACATTGCATTGGTGAAATTGAACTCTAATACCTGTCACAAAAAGATTCAAATTGTGCCTGGTCAACCTCTGGACACCTGAGCAAGGAGACAGATTAGCAGTAACATGATTAGGCTAGAGGTAACAAAGATAAGGTCCAGAGCAGAATATACTAATATCTTGGCCTAAAACTTCAAAAAAATTTTCCACTGTAAAAGTGGTTCTGCATATGGATAGAAGGGAGAATGCTTGTCATGTTAAAGTAAGCCAAGATATTAAAAGACAGCAAATGTATTTATGACTTTGACAATCTACCTATTCAGATAATTAAAGGGCAAAGTTAAACACATACATTTAAATATGTAAGTTACCTTGCTGCACAAGCAAGCAAAAGGTCCTTCAAGGTTAAAGGTTTAAGTTTAACTTCAGAAGTTAAACTCCTGCAACTGAATAGCTGCTTTAATCGCTTGTCAGCCAGTATATTATCTGAAACTAATTTTATAAAATGCTTCTATGCTCTGAGCATAGAACTGACCAATTTGTTTATTGAATGTAGTATGCCATCACCATTTAATATTGGAATGTCTTTAGTATTCTGGGAAGACAAAGACTACTTCCATAGAATTTTTACATCAACCATTTTATGTATCTTTCGCTGTACAGAAACTTTTCAACTTAATGTAGTCCCACTTGCTCATTTTTGCTGTTGTTTTCCTTGCCCGGGGAGATATGTTCAAGAAGAGGTCACTCATGTTTATGTCTAAGAGGTTTTTGCCTATGTTTTTTTCCAGGAGTTTAATGGTTTCATGACTTACATTCAGGTCTTTGATCCATTTTGAGTTTACCTTTGTATATGGGGTTAGACAAAGGTCCAGTTTCATTCTCCTACATGTAGCTGTCCAGTTTACCCAACACCTGCTGTTGAAGAGGCTGTCATTTCCCCATTGTATGTCCATGGCTCCCTTATCATATATTAATTGACCATATATGTTCAGGTTAATATCAGGACTGCTATTCTTTTCCACTGGTCTGTGAGTCTATTCTTGTGCCAGTACCAAATTGTCTTGATTACTGTGCCTTTGTAGTAGAGCTTGAAGTTAGGTTGCAAGATCCCTCCTGCTTTATTCTTCCTTCTCAGGATTGCTTTGGCTGTTCGGGGTCTTTTCTGGTTCCATATGAATTTTAAAACTATTTGTTCCAGTTCGTTGAAGAATGATATTGGTATTTTGATAAACATTGCATTGAATCTGTAGATTGCTTTAGGCAGGATGGCCATTTTGTCAATATTAATTCTTCCTAGCCAAGAGCATGGGATGAACCTTGCATCCCTTTTTTCTCTAAACAGATCACAATGCATTTGTTACTGGATAGATTGGTTCTTAAAAGTGGTAATAAACACCTTCCCCTCCACCTTGGGAGCTGCCTCCTATAGGAGAAAGGCACCCCCACCCAGTGGAAGCTGGAAGCCTGATTACACTGTACTGACTGGGCAAATGATGGGCACCTAACCCAAGATGGGCCATTCAGGTTCTCCCAAGATGTTACTCTTGGAACAGATGAGTCCAGGTTCTCTTAGATACCCCAGAGCCCTTAGAGTAAATTTCTTTGTTTTGTTATGAATGAGAATGTTTGCTTGTTTGGATATGTGTTTGCTTGTTTGGATATGTGTTTGCTTGTTTGGGTATGTGTTTACTTGTTTCAGTTTTGCTTCCCTAGTTAGGGTCAAAGAATTCTAACAAAATAGCCAAGAGTTAATTTTGTAGTAATGTTAATTGTATTCATGCAAATTATACAATTTTTTAAAAAAGTTTACCAACTAAATAACTCTCTTCAGCTATAGCTTTTGCTCAGAAAGGAGATTTTCTTTTCTTTCTTTCTTTTTTTTTTTTTTTTAAGATTTCCATACAGATATGCTCACTGGCATTGAAGCAGGATAGAAATGAGGAAAATGCTTTGTCTCCCAAATATATAGTGATTGTAAATAGAGAAGAGTATCTCCATCCAATGCATGTAAATAGTCCTATTTAAAATGTTAGAAAATTTCTAAATTCTTAAGCTCCATTGAAATTTAGCCATTGTATCTAATTCAGTAAGATTATGTTTTCTATCAAATCATTATTAATGATAGAATCCAGTTTTTTTTTGAAGACATTAAAAGATTCAAGCTTAAAACTTTTTTTGCCACATTAGTATCTCCAGTGGAGAGCCACTCAACTTTTATGAATGTATTAGCGGTTCAACTGTAATAGCTATTCCTTTATTTTCTGAAATGGCAGTTGTCTTTGACAGAAAGAAAGTTGGTGAAATTTTTTTCTTTACCCAAGTTTAGAGTATCACAATAAAAGTAAACATTGTTTTTGTCCTTGCATAGAAATATTGGTATTAATCAGCATTTTAAAAATACATCTGCTATTTAGACCAGGCAATTATACTATCATCCATTCATCCAAAAAATTTATTGAGCATCTGCTAGGTTCTACTACACTTTGTGCTAGGCAATAGGAATATAATTGCGAACAAGACATATGTGTTTTTTTCTCCTTCTAGATCTGTAGTCAGATGCCAGAGACAGATAAACAAGTAAAAATATTAATTACAGTTTATGTGAAGAAATCAGTAAGTTACTACATCTTAAGGACCACAGATATGAAATGACAGAAATTTCAACTTGATTCATTTTTTCCTATGTGCCAATGGCCATTTGAATGTCTTTATCATTAGTACACATGTAAAGATTCCTGGGATTGAGGCAGAACATTTTCCTTTAAGATGTTAAATTAATAGCTCCAGATGTTTCCTTTAATAAACTTTTCCTAGAATATTTCATGTAAAATGAAGAGCAGTTGAAATCATTTTTTTCTGTTCAGTATTTTACATCTTCTAGTGTTACCATGTGAAAGAGTATAATTTATAATCATAGTACTGATGATATTTGTACTATATTCACAATGGACACTTGGCGAAGACACCTAAGAACTATACACAATGCAAAAGCAAAAGTAGAAACTCATACTTTCTACAGTCAAATACTCTACCCCTGAGCTATACCTCCTAAAATATCCTTTCTGAAAGAACTCACTTATCGCAATGAGTTATATCAATATCATCCACACACTATTGTCTGTCCTTCTTGGGAAAAAAAATTAAAAGCAGATAAATTATTAAAGACAACAGAGGTATAAGTATCTCCAATGGGTATAAAAGACAGAAGAATTATTAGTGTTTCTTTTTTCTATGTTATTTAGTTTTTCTAGAGGGCAGCAAAGTTATACAGTAAAGGCACAGTAACATTATAGTATGATTACAGAGGGGAGAGTCCAATCAAGCTTTGAATTCCTTAAAAGCTAAGTGGACTTTTTTTTTTTTTTAG